TTTTTTGAGACAGAGTCTCACTTTGTCATCCAGACCAGAGGGCAGTGGTGCGGTCTTGGCTCACTGCAACCTCCATCTTCTGGGTTCAAAAGATTCTTGTGCCTCAGCCTCCCAGGTGGCTGGGATTACAGGCACCTACAACTGCTCCCGGCTAATTTTTGTATTTTTAGTAAAGATGGGGTTTCGCCATGTTGGCCTGGCTGGTCTTGAACTCCTGACCTCAAGGGATCCACCCACCTCAGTCTGCAAGGTGCTGGAATTACAGATGTGAGCCCCTGTGCCTGGTCGATCTCTCCTGTTTAATACTTAACAATGCATCGGACTCAGCCTTCACATTTTGCAAGCATTCCCTCGTTTATCCACACAGCCACTCCCATTTTACAGATGAGTAAACTGAGGCCAAGGGACACACACAAAAGTTGTTCCAAATCCACATCTACTAAGTGGCAGAGCTGGGGTTCAAACCCTTAGATTTGGCAGGTACAGTTGCTGCTGCTGAGTTCCCTCTGGAGAACGGCTTTAGCATCTCCAAGAATAGACAACATCTAGGAAGGGCATGTGTTTTTACATCCCTCCCCACCCTGCGCACAAGCACGTATTTTAAAAACAAATTCCAACAACTCCATGTTCACATTCAGAGGGCAGATTTGCCAGAGTGGTGGCATTGGTGGTTATTGGCAGAAACCTCCAACTCACAGACGTGGGCCATGAGTGTGCTGGTGAATCTCTTGAGTGGAACTCCCGAGACGGGGATGCACCTTCCCACGGACTGTGTGGGGTGGCTCCCAGGCTAGCCCAGGAAGCCTGTTAACTCCCGCATCCTTCCTGAGTTCAGAATGAGCCTCAACGCCAAGAATCTAGGAGAGCCAGATGGGAGGCTGCTGGTGGGGGAAGCTGACAGAGAAAACGTGTTTCCTCCCTGGGAGCCCACTCTCACCGCCATGCAAATAAACCACATGGACCGACAGAGGGACGCTGACTAGGGTCCTATATCCTCCCACCCCGCAGCTGCCCCTGGAGGGTTCCGGCTGTGCTCTCATCTCACAAATGCGGTCCTGAGGCTGAGAGAGGTCAGGGACCTGCTCTGAACCCTGCGGTCTCAGGGCTCCGGCGACGGGGACTCTAGTCCAGGACACCAGCCCCCAGAACCTTGTTCTGTCCACTATTCATTTGGGAGAGACTGTTGCCCAGAGAGGGTGAGAAGTCTCCCCAACCTTTTCCCCAATCAGCCAATGTCTCCCAATTCTGAGTGCTCTTTGTTGGTTTCCTGGGAGGAGAAAAGGATGATACTGATGACTGTATCTTTTACTTCCCAGACCCTGCCCAGTGTCCTTTTAACATTCGGAAATTTTATTAAATCCCTCAGCTCAGCTTCATTCCACGCTTTCTGTGGTTTAACTCTCCCTGGGTCTTTTTGCTTAGGGTTTGGCTTTTGTTTTTTTCTCTTTAAACGTGAGAGTCTCTCTCTTTTTTTTTTTTTTTTCTCCATTGTTTCTTAAAGGAGCCT